AAGGTTTAAACTGCTAGGAGCACTGTTTTTAGAGATTATTTCACAATAAAATCATAACTGATCTTGAAATATTGATGCAAGAAAAGCTTTTCTTAACTAAGAGAAGTTAACATGCAAAATCATCTTTCCATTCTATTGAAGGCTTCAGGTCTGGGTGCTCATTTCTGGATGCCACACAAGGACTGATTAAAGCAAGTTCAAAGTGAGCAATAGAAACCTATGGGAGGACTCAAAACCACGATCCACAGAGGCCTACCCATGGCACTGGCACTGATGATAAATCCTACGCATCATCCATGTCAGATGTCCCCAGGTAGTAACTTTCAGTAGATATAGAAAGGGACTGTCCCTATTTATTCGATATTTTAAGATCAGTTCCAGCTTATCTACTCTGGAAAATTAATCTTTTGTGTTACACATGCTTCAATCAGCCCAAAATGATTGGACACTGTCAAGGCAGTGTACAAATTTTACGCTGAATATGTGTTAAAGTGTGCATGTGTAAAAATACATATAAATATATGAATATATAGACACACAAAACAGTGTAGTATGTCATCAGAATAAGTATATCGATTTATATTTCTTAGGAATGTCTTTCAATATTCAGCCTGTGAACTCAGAGCCTGGGGAGATGTCCATATCCTACAAATTGCTTCTCTTTACCCTGCTCTATTTACCAGCTCGTTCATTACCTGTTCTCCACATCCCAATCGCATTTTCAATTAACTACATCCAGTAGGATTTGCATTCTTAAATCCCCTATTAACAGTATTTAAAAAATATTACTCCACACTTAAAGGCTTGTGTTTATTAATTACAGCTGAGATGTATTGAAGAGTTTTAAGATCTGCTCCAGGTTGAAATCTGACAGTGCCTGCCCTTTCAAACAGGAAGATTTCTGTCCTAGACAACTCCACAGAAGCCATGACTGCTCTGTGGAGGGCTCCCCTTGCACAGGGCAGAGGTCATTTTAAAGGATCATGACTGCACTTAAAGGTGCCAAGGCCTGCCATCAGAGCTCCATTCTGGCAATTTACACTTCACACTGTGGCTGGACTTCTCGTGATGTCCTGTTCTCTCCCCTGTAACACAGTCATGGACTTGATGGACTCACAGAATACCCCAAATCAGTAGGGATCCATCAGGAACATCAAGGCCAGCGCGTGGTCCTGTGCATCATCATCCTCAAGAATCCCATTGTGCCTGAGAGCATTGTCCAAATGCTCCTCAAGCTCTGGCAGGCTGGTGCTGTGCCCACTGCCCTGGGGAGCTGTTCCAGTGCTCAAACACCCTCTGGGGGAAAAACCTTTTCCTGATACCCAACCTAAACCTGCTCTGGCACAGCTCCAGGCCATTCCCTTGTCTCCTCTCACTGGTCACCAAGGAGAAAAGATCAGTGCCTCTCCCTCCTCTTCCTCTTGTGAAGATGTTTAAGATACCATGAGTTCTCCCCTCAGCCTCCAGGCTGAACACAACAATGCCCTCAGCCTCTCCTTGTATGAATTCCCCTCAAGGCCCTTGACCACCTCTGTTGCCCTCCATTGGACACTCTCTAATGGCCCAATGTCTTTTTAACATTGTGGCACCCCAAACTGCCCCAAACACAATATTCAAGGTGAGGCTGTCCCAGTGCAGAGCAGAGCAGGACAATCCCCTCCTTGCCCAGCCAGAGATGTCCCTCCTGGCTGCCAGGGCGCTGCTCTCTCACATTTAACTTGTCATTCACCAGAACCCCCAGATCTCCAGCTGCAGGGCTGCCCTCCAGCCTCTCATTCCCCAGATGCTAAAACTCCCCTTTCATGCCCTGAGATTGCTCTAGAACCAAACCCATCCCTGCTGCAGGCATGAGAGCTCAGCCAGTTTGCTGCCAGCTTTGCTCCAGCCCACCCTGTGCCCCTCTCTGCCCGCAGCTGCAGAGCTCTGCCGCCCCCAATTACTGCCAGCAGTGCCAGCCTGGAGGAGCTGCTGTCACAGAGGATGGCAGCAGAGTGCAGAGCATGACAACAGCAGCAGCAGGTGGGCAGAGCAGAAAAGGCCAGATTACTGTCTATGTGATTACTGTCATTTATCTCAAGTCAGGCAGAAGGCAGAACATGCTCTGCCTTTGCTTGTTCCTTCCCTCTGTCAGCTACAGAGCAATTCCTGAAAACACTGTACAGGGATGTTATGTGCTTGTTAAGCTTTGTTTTAAGCGCTGAAAGTCACCACTGTCAGAGCAAGTAATTGCCCCTTACAGCAGTCACGGGTTTTTCTCAAACACATGTGCTACAGGAAAATAAACAAGGAGGCATCCAGTGTTAGAACCAGCTCCAAAAGCCGGTGGAATTTTACAAATTCAACATGAGTGTTTCTCTGTCTTTCAGTGTATTGGCCAGAGCAAGATTTGAACTGTAAACAGGAGCTTTACCCTTCCAGCTCTGCCTTCTTGAGGCAGCAGGAGTGTGATGCTGTCAGGGCAGCTGCCTGCTGGGAGAGCTGCAGGAAAGCTGCTCAGCTCCAGTGCAGAACAGCCATTGCACAGGTGAGAGAAGAAGCACTCCCTTCTAATGCTGGGATTGATCAAAGCATGCTCTTGCATCTGGTTCCCATCTTTGCTAATTCTTCTCCCTGATATTTAATAGAGTAATTCTGTGACACAGCTAAGTGTTTCAATTCTGGCTGTCAGATTTCTAAATGAAATTTATATATTTAAAAGCATAAGGACTTTAGTATCAATTCTTTATACAAAAAAATGTCATTTCTGAATCTTAAAGTATTCTTGCTAAATTTAGCCAAAAAAGCTTAACACCACATCACAAATACAGCCTTCATTGCAACACATACTTTCCTCCTCCAAAACTGGATCCACACTTTGCTCCTTGGCCTCATCATTCAGTTAAGAACAGATGATAAAGTAAGACTCAATCAAAGCCCGTGTCCATATGAAATGCAAATCCATTTTGCAGCCTGAAAATATTCCAGTGGTCATGAACTAGAAACAAAATTGAGAGAAGATTTGATTTTGGAGGGAAAGTTTTTCCTTTCCACATTAAGGGAGCAGAAAACTCTACAGCCTAAATGAGGTTTAAGAAAAACCTCCTGCATAAATCTATGGGCCTCCTATGGGTTTTTTCATCACCTGCTCAGACAGGGGAGAGAAAATATAAGAAAAGGCTCATGGGTCGAGATAAAGACAGGGAGAAATCATTCAATTACCATCACGGGCAAAACAGACTCGACTTGGGGAAATTAGTTTAATTTACTACCAATCAAATTAGAGTAGGATAATGAGAAATAAAACACCAGCAACACAGGGGGATGGGTAACAGGGGATGCAGCCAGTGGTTCCTGCCACTCCTTTTTCCTAGGGGATAGGATTCCTCACTCTCTTCTGCTGCTCCAGCATGGATTCCCTCCCACAGAAGACAGCCTTCCCTGAACTTCTCCCACATTCTTCCCCACAGAGGGCTGCAGGTCTTCACAAACTGCTCCAACACGAGTTCTGTGCTTCAGGAACAGGCTGCTCCAGCATGGGACCCCAGCAGGGTCACAATTCCTGTGAGCAAACCTGCTCCAGGTGGGCTCCTCTCTCTCTCTCCATGGGATCACACATCCTCTCCCAGGAGCCCCCTCCAGCACGGGTTTCCCATGGGGACAGACCCCTCCTTGAGACATCCACTTGCACTGGTGTGGGGTGCCCAGTGGGCTGCAGGTGGATTTCTGCTCCATTGTGAACCTCTAAAGGCTTCAGGGGCACAGCTGCCTCACCATGGCCTGCAGGGGAATTTCTGCTCTGGCACCTGGAGCATTCTCTTCCCCCACCTTCCTCCATGACCTTGATGTTGGCAGAATTGTTCCTGCCACATATTTTCCCTCCTTTTGCCAGCTACAATTACTGTTGCCCAGCAATATTCTGCCCCCCCTTTTAAGATTTGTTATCCCTGGGGTGCTACCCCTGTTGCTGATGTGCTCAGCCTTGCAGAGCAGCGGGTCAGTCTTGGAGCTGGGCTGGAATTAGCTCTGTTGGGCATGGGGAAGCTTCTGGGGGCTTCTCATGGAAGCCACCACTGAAGTCCTTCTGTTACCACAACATTTCCATGAAAACCTAATACAGGCATTAGTGTGAATGCAAGATAATACATGTGAAAAATGTAGGGGCACTTAAAATGCATTGTGATGCTCATTTGTCTGTCTGAAAAACTGAAGTTTTCAGGGCTGCCAGTTTCATGTGAACACAGTCTACTCATCCTTGAAAGCAAAACTTACTTGCTCCTGCTATTTGTAGCATGTTCTGCTTTAAAAGAAGGCAGCTGGGAAGATCCGTGTTGGAATATTAAGGAGGCTCCTGGTAGACCAAACGTTCCAAGATCACTGGGAACATGGGTTATGCATTGGCTATTTTTAGTCAGCAGTGTAACTAGAGAGGCTTCACCTCACTCCACATACACCCACTGCTAAACAGCTATCTCCTGGTCAGACGTGCCCCCTCTACCCTGACAGCACACAAAATCCCAGAAAATATCAACAGAAAGGGCTTTCAATCTGCCCTAGAATCAGAAAATAGTGCCTTTTAATTCCTGCTTCCATTGCAATCTCCCTGACCAGCCTACTCTCTCCAGCCATTACAATTTCAAGGAAAACCAGTAGTGAGTGTACAGAAGATCACTTCAAGCACTTGTAAGCATTAGGTTGCTAGAGTTACAATTACTTTTTTTTCTTTTTCTTTTTTTTTTTTTTTTCCCTTGTAGCTCCAGGAACTCTTTGGTGATTTCCAGAAACAAGGCCTGAACACCACCATTGTAATTTCACAAGACAAGCCCAATGCATGAGCAGAGGTGGGTCTTTACTGGGGCCTGTGACCTGACCCTATCTCCTGTAACAACAACCCCTGACCATGGCAATCCAGCAGAGAGACACAGCAAAGCTTGGGAAGTGTGAGTGGAGACAGGGAGAGCCAGGGAGGTCAGGAGTGCTGCTTGCTCCTGCACGCTGCTTTGGCAGGCAGACCTTCTGCCAGAAGGGCAAGGAGGCAGCTTTTCCCTCCAGCCCCAGATATCACAGCTGCTGAGGGCCAGCTTTAATGGCAGTAACTAAAGGTGTAGCCTCCACAGCTTCCACAGGGACAAGCACACACAAAGAAAAAAAAATCCTATGTGAGCACAAGCAACAGCCTGCACAGGTGGGTCAGAAAGCCAAAGGAATATTTACAGGATGAGCAGTTTGAGAAAGTGTGCATTTGAAGCATGATTTCCCAGTGTCCAGTTGCTGCCTTCCCTCACTCTCCTTCATTCCTGAAGGCCTTGAAAACCTTCCCTGAGATGGGCTGTCCTGCTCCTCTTGCTGCATGCAGGCAGCAGGAGATGGCACTGCATGGCAGAGGCTGCAAGACCTGGTGCCACCAGCGAGAGGAGCGACTGGAGACACACAGCTGGGGCACCTTACAGCATCACCCAGGTCATGAAATAGCCCTGGCCAGAGCCAAAGCCCAATCCCTGGAAGAGTTCAAAGCTTTGATGGGGTTTTGAGGAACCTGGTCTAGTTCTGGACATCTAGAAGTTGCCTGACTAAAACACTGAGTACAGAGGACCAAAGGCACTACTCCTTTCAAGGCAGGGTTAGCAAAGAGCCATTCAGAACAACCAGCTGCAAAGGGGTCCCAAAAATCCCACAGAGCTGTGGCTTTCCAGCCCTGCAGGCTGCTCTCCCAGGAGAGAAAGAAAGGAGATTTCCCACTTGCTGCAGAACCCCCAGGAGCGCCCTGTCTATCCAAGTACCCACCAGGTACCCATTTCCACTGCATGCTCTTGCCATGAGCCTGATTAGCAATAATTAACAGACTTACTGAGTTTAAAGCAGGGGAAAATAAAACCTCAAACTAACCCAAAAAACCCAACACCTCTCTGGTATCTGCCCCCTCCTTGACATATTAACTCCAGATACCACACACACGCTGCTGCTTTCAGTCTGCATAAGATAAAAGGTGCGACAAGCCGACCTGAGGTTGCCATGGAGACCAAAAATCTTTCCCAGTGCCATGGTAACTGACTCCAGGATGTGCTATGAAAAGCTGACTGCACACCCTAGTTGAGCGGTTTTGTATTTTTAAACCAATTAACTGAGAGTTCAGTTAAATTAGGTGCTGTTTAAAGAAAGGCACTGTCAAAATGTAAGACATATTAGTTGCTGCCTTCTTTTCCTAACGAAACAGAAGAAAACAAAACCTTAGGGAGATTACCAAGCTTCATCTGATTGTTTCTGAAAATCAAAAGCCTTATCTTTCCATATAAGAAATTCCATCTTTATATTTTTATACCAAATAAGAAGGAAAGGACTGAGCAGCTTTAAGCCTGCCTCCCTTCCATACTTGTACGTCCTTGCATGACCAAGTCTCTGACGTCACTGGAAGTTTTAAACATACAAGAAATAAGCTTCTAGAGGAGAATAAATAAGGCTTCAGCAATATATTTGAGAGAAACATAATAAAACTGCAATGGCAGCTGGACATGGCACAGAAAGCACCAGCCACATGCAGACCTTGATCAGTGAGACTAAAAACTCTCAATCAGCCCTGGCTTCTCTGTGCCTATGCTTCCCCACTTTAGAGAGCCATGTTTTCCCCTCTCTTCACAGTATCCTGTAATACCTGTGGACTAAAAACTCCCAGATTTCATCAGCAGGCATTTCAAATCTATTATTTTCCTGTTTTGGGCCCGTGCATCACAAACAAGTTCCTTTCTATGAAACTTGACATCCAGACCGTTCTGCACATGAGGTTGGTACTGATAAATCATGAGTTTTCCCAGATGCTGCTCCAGCCTCTGATGGCAAATGTGCAGTGTGTAGGTGCTGCTGCTTCAGGCCTGGAATATAACACAGCTTCATCTTTACCACATGAGTAGGATAGAGTGGAAGTGGACAGGCACAGGGAAAATAATCAATCTAAAATAATCCACTGTCCAGGGTAATGCTGAAAAGGCTGAGCAACACCTGGGGAATACCTGCCAGTGCTACATGCCTTGTTTACAGAGCTGTCTTTGTCAGCTGAGGTGGAGAGAGCTCACCAAGACAGCCACGTTCCCATGGCTCCTCCAGGGCCTGCCAGAAGAGTCTGTTAATCCTGAAATCCTGTTGGAATCCAGCTCGTGTATTTTGGGGGTCGGAAATCTGGCCCTCGGATGCGAGAACGGTTGAAAAGAAATAAAGAACATGTTCATTTAAGCAATGTAGGTGGCAGAGCTCTCCTACGGAAACAGTGTAAAAGAGTGTCCTCGTTTGACCTGGTTGTAAAAGGATACCTGTGCTGTGGACTGAGAACTGGGCAGGTGCAGTGGCAGTCACACCCCACTCCAGGTAAGGAGACCTGAACCCAATCTTGCTTCACTTTCAGGTTTGCCTTTTACCTGTTTGCCTGCACATCAAACTCATTTTTATCGTAGCAAAAGCTTCAGCAAGAAATGGCTCTGGAACGCAACAGCAAGAACTGTACAGCCACTCTGGGCTCCCACCACATGTCCTGAGAGGGGCCAGGAAAAGGGTTACTGATTCTGCAAGCTTTGATATGAAATCTGCCATTGCTAATAAACATCTGGTAATAACCAAGAATGTTTTCTTTGAGTTCAGAGTGAGAAAGCTAATTTTTCTATATAAGGCAGCTACTGCCTCAGTAGGTCTAAAAGAAAAATGAAAACTAACTCTACAGTCTTTGTTTGGAAGACAATTCCTCTCTCTTTTATAGTTATTCTTCAGTTTAAAAAAAAAATCCCATTATATTAGATACAAAGAAATGTTATTTTGACAGAACTTCTGTAAGGCACATTGCTGCAGAATCATAAAACGCCACGCAAAGACAAAGAGGGTTTGCTTACACCAAAAAAATACAAGCAGATTCTACAGTAAACATGTTGCAGTCACCATGGAAATACACTCCTAAAGTTTTTGACAGGTATTTACTCAGCAAGTCAAGAGTCTCAGCAAAAGACATACAGAGTAGCAGCTAGAACCCATATGTCTCCTTCCCTCAAAAGAGGGAACACTTGCTAGGAAATAAATATTACAGATATTGAATTAAAAAAAATAGGTGAGTAAAGAGTGCCAAGGAAGCAGATCAGAGATATTTTGATGGCAACTACTGGAGAACACAACATTGGCTGATCAGCAGCAGGAATCCATCTTTGAGTTTTCCAAGAGATGCTAAATATAGCTCCAAGTATAAGATGCCAAACCAGCCAGCTAGTTGAGGAGAAGCAAGAACAAAAGAGGAAAAATCCCAACATGTTACAGAGATTATTTATAAAGAAGCCAGCAGAAAAAGCAAACCAAGAATGTACTTCAAGCTTCTGCCCATATTCTGTTCTGCCTCATATTTGCTGCACAATTTATTTAGAAAAGCTTTTCTAAACACTTCACTGCAAGTAAAATCATGGAATAGGCATTTGGTGCTAGAGTTGATTTGTCAAAGAGGTTCCACGTGGCAAAGACACTCTAAACACAGGATTTAACCACAATGCCTCAACACACTTCAATGCAGTCTCATCTAATTTTTGATTTGTACTCTGCTACTCCAGGGACAACTTTGAGTGGTTTATCCCCTGGTATGTGTAGCTACATGCTCAGTTTTGTAAGAAAAGTAAATTGTCATCCTGGGTGGCTTTTCTTTTATCTGCCTAGGATGCTAGTGAAGTTTGTCTTAAATAAGACAATTAATAAGAGATTCAAGCACATGTCAGAATGAAGTACAGATTGAAACATCTGTACAGATCTGTGCTTCACTAATGAACCTACAGAAACCAAGTCTTATAGTGTACTGTATATTGTATTTCTTGAGATTCAGAATTAAATAAGAAAGGGAGATGGATGAAGTATGCATGTCTCTGAAAATAGCTACCCATTCTTCTTTATCATGCTGTAAAGTCAAACATACTTTTTGAAAATATTCCGCGTCCTGAATTGCTGTGGCTACATGAGGAAATAAATCTTTGTCTACTATGCATATTGTAGAAGTAGAAGCTTCCCAGATGCAAGAGAAATGAAAAACAAGTTTGATAACAATAAAGAATTTGCAGCTCCATTTCCTCCTTTCCTGACTAAATGCAATGCTAATTGTTTGAAAGCTGGATGAAAATAGTACTTACTTGGAAGACACAAAAATTTCATTTTCAAGAGTTGTCATTTCACCATAGGCATGTACTTCCAAAACCAAAAAGAAATTATCTGCACTTTTGTTTTCATCTAAAGCAAATCTCAAAACTTTCCAAGTAGTTTTTGATCAAATATTTATTCTGCTTTTATACTACGGTTAAATGTTTATTCTACTTGTTTCTGCACTTCCATACCAATCCTCAAAATATCACAAAAAATCCTCTTGTCAAAACACTCTAAATTCCTTGGAAAGAGGTAATTCCCCAAGTTATTAGTGGGAAGTTTTCTCCCTGGAGCTTTTGAGCACGGTGCCAATAGCAGAAGCCTGTAACTACAGTCTCCTCAGTGCTGTTACCATTTGGCTTTTCAACAAAACACATCCAGGTAAAGTCTGCTACCATTCCCACCCGAAATCCTGCCCTGGAGCTCGGTCAGGTATGGCTAAGGGCAGAACTTTACTTGTAGTGCTTCATCAAATTAACTGACTTCACTGCTCTTTTCTTTCCAGCTACCCTGACATTTTACCTGTTTACTCTAAATGCACTTTAAGAGCTGTATCAACAGCAAAAGGGCAACAGGCAGACCCTGTATTATGCATTAGATATCCTTAGCAGCACTTGAAGCAAGTAGATAAGCAGCACCAACCAAAAGAGAAGAAATTACAGAGGTTTTAGGTTGGAGTTTTTTCCCCCCTCCCGCCCTTCATGTTGTGGTACAAAAATCAATGGAATGGTTTAGGTCCTGAAAGAGGGAAGAAAACCTTCTTAAAAGCCTCTTTGGTGAAAAAATAACACATTCAGGTACATTACCACGGGAAAATGGCCATCCTGAGCTTCTCCCTCCAGAGCCAGGCAGAAATTAGTCATGGGCAAAGCTCAAATACCTTAAAGGTTCAGATGGGCATTTACAGTGTCTGATGCTTATCATAATCCCTTGGGTCTGCCAAAGAGTCTTTATTGCAGTTCCTTGATGCTTCTGCACAAAGTGGAGAGATATGAAAAATGTGAAAAATTAAGGGGAAAAAATGGCCAAACATTTCTGAAGCACAAAGAGACCTCCATTTGAGGTCTGTGGGAGGACTGCAGTTAGCTGTTATTTTATCTGAACTAGCTTATGTATCCCTAAACAGCTTTTATGGTGGGACTGTTTGGAATTCTTCTAATCCATAAAGCTACAAACACTACCTTAATCATATTCTAACCTGTTATCTCAAAACTCTTAGGTACCATTTTTTTTAATGCAGAAAAATAAAAAATAATTACATAATTTTTTGTGTTTTAGCATAGATTTCACTGATTTGGGATAA